TGTCTGTGGATATCCAGGGCTCATGTATGAGATTACTAACAAGCATTACTGAATAATGAGATGAGGGACAGTTTGCTATGTCTACTAGGTAGCTAAAGTCTGATCCTCAGAGCCTATGGTTTAGACGGTCAACAACGCTTGGGCCCACAGGGGCTTGGCCTCCTGACCGGGTCTGCACGGTCTGCATCAGATTCCTCCTCATTTATTGTTTGTTAGTATTTTCTTCTTTAGAAAATCTTATGAGATCAAACAGTCAACCATACCCATTACCATGGAGTCAGTTCTGACTCATAGTTGCTCTATAGAATAGAAGTGCCTCATAGGATTATACATCGTTATGGATGCAGGGTGATACATCTTTCTTCTGTAGAGCAAGTGATGGGTTTAAATTTCCGACCTATCAATTAACAGTTGAATGCTTTAACCATATTGAAACCAGGTCTTTTTAAACTTTCAACAATTACTTTAAACCAAAGATGAGAGGGAAAGGGAGCAGGGAAACTAGATTAATGGAAACTAAACAACCAGAATGGAAGTAATGAGAGTGTTCACTCATATGAAGAATTAACTAATGTCATTGAACAATTTGTATAGAAATTGTTGAATGGAAACCTATATGGGTATATAAACCTTCACCAAGACACAATAAAATATCATTAAAAGAGAGAGAGAGAGATTACAGCATTGGAAACCCTATGGGGCAGTTCTGTTCCATTGTCTATTCTGTTGTCTCAATGTTCAGAACTTACTTGATGACATACAATAACAACATTTGTGTAAAAACATTGCAATCACTTAATTAAGTTCATAGTACATTACTTTTATTAGGGACAGACTAGGTGATTATCTTAATTTTTAAAATGAAAACAAATGACTTATTTTAAAATAAAACTGAAAGTCTAAAAGAGGCACACCCTGCATGCAGTCCGTTAATTGCTAAGTTGATTAGTTTGTGAATGTCTAATAGTAAAAATAATACTATTTATGCCTAGCCACAAATAGGTTATGTAGTGTATATAAGTTATTTGTTAGGGGAACTTTAATTTTGGTATTTCTTGACTTTATTTGTTTACATTATTAATTGTAGATAAATTGCACAGAACAATTATATTTAGCACAGATTCTCTGACCTAGACAATTTGTATGCATTGAACATAGTTAACATACAGGAGGATTTGGGCAGCATGGTTATTCAGCAGAAAGGCTTGGAATTGGAGCTTACTTTTGAGTGAATGACAAATGTACTTTCTGAGCACGGTATCTCTAGTTTTAGAAAAAATTGGAAAAGAACATTATTTAGACAAATGATTCTGTGACGGGCCAAATAGTAAATATATTAAGGTCTATGGGCCATATATTCTTTGTTACAACGACTCAGCTCTGCTGTTGTCGTCTGAAAGTTGTCATAGGCAATATAAAAATGAATGTCACAACTGTGTTCCAATAAAACTTTATTTTAAAAACACACACACACACAAAAAAAAAAACACTCAGTGGGCTGGTTTGGCTCACAGATTGCAGTTTGTTGACTCCTGATTTACACTACAACAATGCAATAGCCTACAACTCAAAATGTACATTGACATTTATCCTTGTCCTATTTTTCTCTACAGGCAGAAGACTGATCTTTGAAAATATGTATTTGGGAGACAGTCACGTTGTATTGAATACCTTGTGCTGGTGCTGCCACCGAAAAATCTGGTTACACTCTGGAGAGGCCTGCTACCACTGCAGGACTGAACCACCGCAGCCCTGAGATGAGTGACCGGCCTGAACGGGCACACCATGAATAGATACACAACAATCAAGCAGCTTGGGGATGGAACCTACGGGTCTGTCTTGCTGGGGAGGAGCATCGAGTCTGGGGAACTGATTGCTATCAAAAAGTAAAAATTTCATCCTTCACTACTTACTATGCGTTGTCAATGTATTTGGTACTCTGAAATTTTTCTAAAAGGGAGTGGTAGGAGGCACGGAGAAGAACCTAGATACTGATTTCTGTGGATTAGATGATTGTTGAGCTTTACACTGATGATGTCTGAAAAACATCCTCACCTTAGTTTTACTCCTTTGCATATAGCACTAAAGGAGCTCTGGTGGTGCAATGAGTAAGGTGTTGGGTTGCTAACTGCAAGGTCAGCAGTTCAAACTCACCAGCTGCTCTTCTGAAGAAACATGAGGCTATCTGCTCCTGTGAAGATTTACAGTCTTGGGAACCCTACGGAGCTGTTGTCCTCTATCCTATAGGGCTGCTATGAGTTGAAATTGACTGAGTGGTAGTGGGTCATATCACACTGTGTATTTTTTCAAAGTGCTTCTATATGAACCTCATTTTACAGGAGACGCTGAAAAATTCAGTGATTTACTTTGGGTATGTTGATGTGTTGCTGCATAACAGATTGCTCCAAAACTTACTGGATTAAAACAATACACATTTATTATCTCATTAATTTCTGTCACCTGGGAACCTGGGCACAGCCTAGCTGGGTCTTCAGCATCAGGGTTTCTCATGAAGCTGAGATCAATGGGGCCACAGGTGAACGAAAATATTTTTCAGATACAAAGTTTAAACTGCTATTAGAAGTAAGCCTGCTATCTATCTGTTTCTTTTCTTTTAGAATGAAAAGGAAGTTTTATTCCTGGGAGGAATGCATGAACCTTCGGGAGGTTAAGGTATTTATTAATACACTAGGGAATAATTTATGTATTGAAATAGCTTTATGACTGCTTAGGTTTATAACTGATGCAGTTATTTCATTTGAATTTGTTCATAAATGCAAAAGGGGGGGCAGATGATAGCATTTGCAGCTAATCGCTGAAAGTAGATTACTATGTTACATTAGTGACTCTACTTTTATTAGAAAACCTATACCTCTCCTTTGCAAACCGTTTCTGAGTCAAAATAAGAAACCTTTTTTAAAAGATACCTCTGTAAAGTGAATCAAATAAAGTTTCCTACTCATAATTAATTTTTTCTATTAAACTAAAAAAGACTTTATTACCCACGATTCTCTCTTATAAACGAGAGCTATGAGCTAGCTCCTCTTTTCGACACACCAGCAATTCAATCTGAAGGCACTTTCCTCCCTACCCAGAATGTTCTTCTTGAAAAGCTTTAAACCTGCTGCATTTGACTCTGTGTGGATGTGCTTGTCAGCTGCTCATCCACTGGATTTCTCAGCTATGACTGGTGGTGTGTACTTACCAAACAGGAAAAAATGATGGCTGTAGTCCAGGAGAGTCCAATCAGGCCGTGCTAGTACTTGTTACCCTGGGAAAGCTAGGAATCCAACCCAACAAAAAAGTCATCAGCTTGGTTGGATCATTCTGGCAAATTGAGCGGGACAGTTGAGGAGTCCCAGCCTGAGAAGTATCCAGCATCCCTCCAGGAACTTGTCTTTCAGGGAAAAAGCTTCAGAAAAGTCTTATTTTGTTCTTATCCTATGACTGTCCTTCCCTCTTCCCAGCTGCTCGAAGTTCTGGTAGCGTAGTGGTTATGAATCGGGCTGTGAACCGCAAGGTCAGCAGTTCGAAACTACCAGCTGCTCCGCGGGAGAAAGATGAGGCTTTCTGCTCCCATAAAGATTTACACCCTCGGAAACCCTGTACAGGGTCGCTATGAGTCGGAACCAACTCCACGACACTTAACAACAACAACATACCACATTTCCAAGCTCTGATCCCTGGAATCTTCCTTAGAGATTCTGATACTTAGTTTAACGTTCTCTTCTTCAAGCCCTTTCTGTTTGTTTTTTTATAGAAGACAAGTTTTGTTTTTTTAAAGGAAATTCAAAGACAGAGTCTTAGCACTGGTTATTATTGGCCTCATTCTGTGGGAAGAGGCGTTTTGAATAAAAGAGTTTATCTAACTGGACAGAGTGTTCAGACTTTATTGAAGGAGACAGTCGATCAAAATCTGATCATTAAAGGATTTGTCTTGTGAGTAAACTAACACGTGGATTTTTCTGGCTGTTGTACATGAGCGAGATTGCTGCTCAGTGATAGAAAACTCTACATGTTTGCCATCAATAGCACTAGTCAGGCAAACAGAAAATAATGTGCATATGGCTGTGTTCGCATGTATGTTCCAAGAAGCAGAAAGCTGCAAATGTGAAAGGAAGGATGAGTAAGCAGAGACAATGTGCCATTTTCAGAGCCACCCTCTTGTCCCTCAGCCCTTGCCTGACTCTCTGCCTTTGCTCTTCTTAAAAAGCTAGGGATTTCTCTGATCTCACTTCAGGAGCATTGCAGTGAGGCTTCTGCTTCTTGAACCTGTCCTATGCAATTAAAGCTCCCTTTGTGAGGAGCACCGCTTGGGTCATGGACACACATGAGTCAGGCGGAAGTCAGAAGTTGAGAGAATTGGTCCATCAGCCTCAGCCTCTGTTCAAAGTGCCTGCGGACTCTTAGCTGGTGATCTCAGTCCAAAACAATTGCCTTCTCCAATGACAGATAATACAAAGCCTCAGCTTTCTTTATTGGCACCCCTCTGGAACACCCATTGCATGAATTCCATCACTGGGAGGGGGCAGGCCAAAAACAACCCATTAGTGCATGGCCTTGTCCTGGGGCAGCCAGCGAATACCAGTTAATGACAAAGTATTTACCTTCTAGTCCACGAATTACAATAGTTTTTCTATGTAAAGTTGCTGTTGATTTCAGAGAAATGCATTTTATTAAGTTGTCAATAAAATATGAGTTATGACATAAGTCTATAGCATTTCCATGATCTAGAATGAGATGTTTCTTCTTAAGCATATATGGGATTACATTTCTTTTTCAGCATCAGATTTGTTCTCATGGTTTTCTTCCTCGTATTTCAGTCTTTAAAGAAGCTCAACCATGCCAATGTAGTAAAACTGAAAGAAGTTATCAGGGAAAATGATCATCTTTATTTTATCTTCGAGTACATGAAGGAAAACCTTTACCAGCTCATTAAAGAAAGGTACAGTGTGGTCATGATCTTGGAAATAAACATTGCAAAAAAGGATCTTATTACACTTTCCCAAGACTGTCTCTAATCATTTAACAGTCTTTCTACTTAGGCTTTGTTATTTGAAGTTGCCCAGAAATGAGAGGCCTGACCCACCTTCCTGTTACCTAGGCCTTACTATAGCCTCATAGAAATTGCAGTAAAACCCATGAAAGCCAGAACTTACGGAAGATGGAAACCTGTCAGAAAGAGAAAATGCAAATATATATATATATATTCATTAAAATAAGCAATAGAAAAGTACTAAGACTACCCTATCAAAGGCAGAAAACTTGTGAGACTTAGAAAAACAAGGCAGTTCCGTTACGTTCCAACTCTCCCAGGTTTCTCTGTGGTTTCAGTATAACCGTTCCCATGTTTTAGTGGGGCATTTACACAAAGAAGCTCAGAGATTTAGCACACTCTGCAGCTCTGCATTCAGATAAGGCCATACTGACAGAGAAACTAGTCAGGTGTTATACACAGTTTTGTCTCTTCTGAGACCACCATTGGACACTTCCAAGTCTATTTCAGTTTCTTCCTTGCTACCGTGTTTGGGAACTTGCCTCTTGAGAATAAGAAAGCAATAAGGTTACCTGCTATGATAATTTTGAACTTTTAAAGTGAATCATATAAAGCCTCTTAGGTACGTTTTCTTGGTGGCAAAATGAATGTCATTCAGAACATCTCCCGGAAAGATTTCAGTGCACAGATAGCATCTTCATTATCAATGTTAGCAATGAAGCTGTGTGACTTGCCCAACCAGGGGAAATGTTATTATCTACTGTACTTCCCAATGTCTTCATCCCGGAGACTTCAAATTTCCCCAACTAAATTGTTTTTTAAAGTTTTAGTTTATTCTCATTATGAGGAAGAGGAGAGATTTAGATTTATGTATGCTATGTGGAGAGAATTTTTTCTTTGTTTACTTTAAAATGTATAATCTTTTCTGTTTTGTTAAAACTTAATGTATTTTGGTGTTTGTAAAGCACCTCTCCTAAGGATAAACGATTTTTCTTTCCTTTGTTCTTTACTGCCAAAGGAACAAGTTAAAGATTAACACGCCTGCACGTGCTTTGTTTTCATCCTCTGTATAATCAAAAGAACAAAAAAGGGGGATTGTTTTTTCTTTCATAAACCTAGAATTGTGTTTTGTTTTGTTTTGTTTCTGACCCATATAGAAATAAGCTGTTCCCCGAATCTGCCATACGTAATATCACGTACCAGATACTGCAGGGGCTCGCATTTATTCACAAACACGGTAAGTGATTTTGACTATTACTCTTTTGAATGGCAGGGAAATGGCAGTGTCAGGTAGATGTTCAAAGCATCACTGTCTTTTGTGACTGATTTCCCAAAAAAGATGGAGAAATTGAGAGGCTAGCAATGAATTTTGACTTGTGTGATCTTCTAAAACTTCATTTCTGAGCTTTTCTCATTATTTATCATGCCTGTATTTATTTTACTTAGGCTTTAAAGAATAAAAATCATTTATAGTTCTCTAAAAGTCAGTCCTGGAGTGGCACTATAGGATAAGCACTGGACTGCTAACTGAAAGGGCTGTGGTTCAAAACCTTCTGCGGCTCCTTAGAAATCCTATACATGGTTGATGTGAGTTGGAACTGACTTGAGGGCACTTAACAACAACAAAGAATCAGTGCTTATCATGAAGGAAAAACCAAAGATTAGAATTCAAAGAACTTTCTCTTATTCTAGTTCACTGACTAATACTACCTTACTGTGGCTTCTCATTTTCTCAATATATTTATATTTCGTCTTTATTCAGAAGGGTTTAAAAGTGATTTGACATGATTTATGTGACACAGATCAATAAAATAAAATAATTAGCAAAGATGAAAAAGAAATATCAGAAGAAATCTAAGGCTTGATAGAACACAGAGTGACATTAATACTCAAAATGTATGCCAGAAGGTTTTATATAAATACAAGAAGCAGGTTACAAATTTTATTTTAGGCTTGTTGTCAGCCAATGCAAAATATGGACCATGACCAATTATAACATACAAAGTTCTCTCCAGGGAAAAACAAATCGGAAACAGAACGACTGTTGATACAGAGACCAGTGAGTGTTCTCCTATGGGTCCCCATAGAGGGTACAGTGTGTAACAGCATATAAACACTGCATATTGTAAGCAGTGACAGGTTACATGTCATATTTCTCACTATAAGCCAATGGCATCACCTGATCAGAGAGATCAGTTCTGCTGGGGCCCAGTGTGATTTGCCCTGGGGATGGTCTGGTTAGTCTAGGGAGAGATTTAGAGTATCCAGAGTAGCTGATGGCTGTATGCATTTCAGGAAATCCTCCATTAGTGTTGTTTTTCTCAGGTGAGCTTTTCAAAGGTTTTGGGCACAGTGAGTTTGTGATGATATTCCCTAGCAAGTACTAGTCTTTGTTACTAGTTGGGTACAGGCCCTGCTCGGGTGGATTTATATTTTCTGCCTGAATGAGCAGATCCATGAATGGAGTCTGGAGTCTCTTAAGGAGGTCACTTGAAGTCGCTTCAACATACAGACAGATGGGTGAAGCAGTTGATTTTACACAGGCAGAAATTCCTTCACCCCCAGTCTAAAGGGAGTGTTGCCATTGCAAATGTGCCAACAAATGAGTTTCATTACCCATTCTCAAGGTCAAGTGGAAGCCCTCTATCAACAGAGTTCATTCAGACTTGATGCAAATTGGCAGTGACTAGGAAAAAACCTCAGCCTGGAGCGCTGGTCACCACAGCATGTACATAGCACATCTAGGCTGGTTACCAGCCTGCTCTTTAACTCATAAGTAACCCCTCCCAGTTAAAGACTACATGAAACACAGACAGACAAACTTCAGCTGTCTGTGCACATCCATACAGCCTTGGCAATGTTGAGTAATCCGTAAGTAATATGCAAAATGGAATCAAATTGTGAACCAATTCTAGTAAAAAAAAAATTTGTGATTCCACTTACATTGATAGAATGTCATATACTTTAGCCTTTATTCACACAAGAATTCATACGAACTCATGTGTGTTTGACAAAAAAAGAAAGGGTATAAAATCAGAAGGACTCTCTGAAGAGAAAGGTCCAATAGCTGCCAACTAGTGTCTTTGTAATTGGGGCTTTGTTTAATACTGGACCTAAAAAGAAAGTTAATGTTCTTCCGCTTTCATTTAAAAATATTTTTTCTCTCTCTCTGTTTTTTTTTTTTTTCCCCTTTCTTTTCACGAGACTTAGATATTGCCCAAAAGAACTTGGTGCCTTTCTGTACGTGTTTACTTAATTCTAATCGGATGTGTATATGCATGCGCTCACATATAGACCCACCACATACACATTCATGTACACATGCACACACTCATCCCCTATACACACACATGCCCACATACATGCATACTTTTAGTAGCCAGTAGTTTAGCATTCATGTACTACTATGTCCGTACAACTCCCTGAAACTCTGAACTATCACGTTCCTTCGTATGTCTTACACATTAGGACTATATATGGAAGCAGTGCAAGGGAAAGCTCAGTTTATGGAGGTTAGCCCATTTCTGATTTTATAACTCACATTTAAATCCCAGCACTATTACCATTAATAAGAAGCATTGGTAGTGTAGTGGGTTATGAGTTGGGCTTCTAACTATAAGGTCAGCAGTTCAAATCTACCAGCCAAATCTTGAGAAGGATGTGACTTTCTGCTCCCGTAAAGGTTTACAGCCTTGCAGACTCTATACAAGGTCTCTATGAGTTAGAACTGACTCACCAACACACAACCACCACCCATTACCATTGGCAGAGATTCTTTTCCCAAGCTCTTAAGTGCCCAGTTCTAGTTTGAGCTTAGTTATACTTCATCTTTTGCCTTATTTATTCTCTGACAACTTTTCAGATAGACAGGTGGTATCTATTGATTTCAAAGTAAAGATAAGTTCAGAGAGGTTTAAGCCCTATCGAAGATTTTACTGCAATGAAATTGTAGAAATTGGCTCAGATTTTCTGCTCATTTTGCCAAGATTCGCTAGAAAAGCCTGTCTTTCTTAAAGCAAGAGAATAAAAGTTGACCAAAATGATAGTACTAATTGTAGGTGGGCTCTATATTAGTTTTACAGGTCCTAATCTCATTTTTATTGATAAATGAGTTTTAGAATCTTTTTCCAAAATGTTTTCATATGCCATTGACTTGACTTACGTTAAACGCACAGGTAACTCCCTATTATTCCTGGTGTGGTGCTGTAGGATAAATCACTGGACCGCAAGCTTGGTTTGAACCACCAGTTGCATTTCAAACTGACCAGTGCTTACCCTACAGCTCCACACCAGTACTCCAGTAATGGGAAAGATAATCTGAAGTGTTTCCTCGATTTGTCCTGTGAGCTTCAGGTCCTCTTGGGTGTGCTTCAGCTCTTTCTCACTGAGCGAAGGTGCGCTCTGCCCTGGGGAGTAGACTCCTTGGAGAGGGCACTGCAGGCCGTTGCTATGGTCATAGTTCATGTCACTGAGCACTTTTCCCCCTGCAGGGAATTTCAACATGGCTCTGCTTGTGCAATGCCAAAACATAAGCACTTTGCAGGAAATAAATAATTGATACAAGCTGCACATTGCATCCTTGATCGGCCCTTACAAATGTCTCGGTCATGCTTGTGCATGGATGTCATCAAAAATGCCCTGGGTGCTTGGAGGGCAATGTTTTACCCCAGGAGGTTGCTCCTGGCATCTGTGCTTCACCAGGGACTTGCTGTCCTTGACCTTGAGACAGTTCTTTGCCTTTCTGCACATTGTTATCCTCATTTTTTAAAACTTAGATTGTACCAGAGACCTTATTGATAAAAACACTGTGGGTTTAATTTCAGCACTATCTCTAGAACTACAGTTCCCATAGCAGGAAGGTATGCTCCATAAATGCACAGTGGTTCAGTATTCTCTGGTTATTTCCATATATTCACATCAGCTTCATCATTAACAGAACGTGGCAGAAGGGAAAAAGCCTTCTTTGTGGCTTGATGTTTTCCTTGCCTGAGGGCTATTCGTGAACAAGGAGGCACATTTTCTGCCAGGATGAAAGAAAAAACATCTCTGTTATTCATCTGGCATGCTGTGCCTTGAGATTAAATTGAAGGTCTGTCCCTGTCTTCTGGAAGCCAAGCAGTTTTAAACAGGGAAGTTCTTATCTTAAAGGCACTTTGCTGTGGTAGAATCTCTTACAGCAGCTATAAGGATGACAGTGCATATCAGTAGAACCACATGTACCCATCAGGAATCAGGGCAGAATTCTAGCACCACCTCCTCACAGGATGGACGTGTTACTGTCACAAGCTTCATGAGTCTTAATTCGTATCTGCAAAATGTAGAGCCATGTCTGCCTGCCCACTTCACCAGGTGTTAGGTGTCGGGAGAGTTAAATGAGAAGATGCATACTACTAATAGCAACTGACTCTTGCGAAGTGCCCACATGCCAGGCACTGCTCCAGCATCTCTATAAATCCCAACACATCCAATCCTGTAAAACTAGCCCACACAGCAGATGGCATTATGTTCCCATTTTATAGATGAGGAAACTGAGACACAGAGAGATTTGAAATCAGGCAACTTGGCTGATCTGTACACTTAACCTTTATGGTATATGGCTTCCTGTACATATACAGTAATGTTTTGTTAAAATTTGTTGTTGTGAAGTATCTTTGGGTCAGTTCTGACTCATAGCGACCCTGTATAGGGTTTCCAAGGAGTGACTGTTGGGGTTGAACTTCCGACCTTACTTATCCTACCACTCCACACCAGGACCCCTTTGTTAAAATAGAGCTGTTAAAATTGTACATTTCATGAGGGTCTTATACCTTTTAATTGTTGTTTTTAAGAATATGCACAGCAAAACATACACTAATTCAACAATGAAAAAGGAAGTTCATATGCAATTCAGTGACATTGATTATATTCTTTGAGTTGTACAGCCATTCTGTTTGGGGTCTGGAGTCTTACGAGAGAGCTTCCTTAATGTAAATGAAATATTAACTGCTGAACTAATAACCACTGTATGAGTACATATAGGGTCACCAAGATGGGGTCTAGGGTGAAGGGGAAACCCTCTCTTCCCAATGAATGTTAGAGTTGATCATGTAGATGTGGTTCAAGATTTAAAGAAGTTTATTACCATTCCATGAGGTGAGGAAGGGGCAACTTGAGAGGTGCAGACAGCAGTTCTGTGGTTCAGGTCCAGGCGGGCAGAGAGTGAAGCAGGTGATGAAGGCAGTTTTATACTAGGAGTGG